TTCAATCACTAGTGTGAGAATATGGGCTACTCAACTCTTGCTTATACAATGAGGGAGAGATTTTCCACTACGCACAAATACTTATGTAGAAACAAAAATAACACGTATCTTTAGAAACAATCAACTATAATTTTTTATCAACTAAAAAATAAAAGTAATTTTTTCTCTCTTGCCAAATAACCATCACCCTACAATTCTAATTAAAAACTAAATTAAATTTATGATAAATTTAATTTTTCCTCACTTTTTACCGGTTGTTTCTAACCATATAGATATAAGTGTGTTTTTATGCAATTATTTCTTCCCACTAGGACTCATTCCTACCTTCAGTTAGTGATTAGAAACCTCATCAACCACATATAGTAAATGGATGAGTGAGTAACCATAAACATATCAAGCCTAATTAGGCGGCCTCCACCGTGTTAAACAACTTATTCCTCATTTCAGATGGCTTCTTGGCCCATTTTGTGTGGCATGTCATCTCATAATGTATGCTCATCCATAGTGAAGGAAATTTTCTTATAACGTATATTTATGGACTTTCCTTTCTAAAGTCCAATAAAATTATCCCAATACACAGTCTCTCAAGCACGGAGTCTGAGAAAAGACAAAGTCATTTAACCTAAGAATTTTAGGCTTTCATGTTTGGATCGGACTCATAAGAGATCCTTAGGCAAAGCCTAGAACGAGTTCTTCAAATAGAGTTTGGGGTGAGTCCTCTAAGAAGAGCTTAGAGCGAGTCCTTCAACCGTCACAGACAGTAGAGCGTGGAACCTTAAATGCCACTAATGATGAAGTTTTTTGAGAAGACAAAACAACTAAAGGAGTATGTGCATGTCACAAAGGTATGGAGTTTAAAGATCATGTGCCTTAAAGGCACATGTTAAGAAATATAAAATGAAAATTGTGTGTTGGAAAAAACAATAAAATAATAAATTATCGACTTTTAATTATTACGAATGCATAATTTCTATAAAAAAAAAATCTACATTTAATTCTTAACATGAGTCTTTGCCCAATGTTTAAAACAATTTTTAAAATCTAATCTTATTTTATTTTAAATTTTATTTTTACAAAATATTTAATCTTGTTTTTATTTTAATTATTTTTTAAAATTTACCATCTAAAGAATAAATCATCGCAAAAGGAAGTAGCATTTAGTTTTTTAATGAGAATTTGTTTTAAGTAACTTCTCATTCTCCCTCTTAATTCCCTTTGTTAGGAATCTAAGGCGCTGGTCAATAGATACAAATGTCAAATGAGGGCTTAAATTCAAGGTAGTGATATTTTAGTTTGATGGAAGGATATTGGTCGGTTAGTTTTAGGTAGTTGGCCTTAATCAGAGCTAGAGGAGTATTCAGTGAAGGAGGCTTGCAAGAGGCTAATGTCAGAGACTTAACATCATATTGTTATTTCGTGGTCAGGAATAAGACGTTTTCGTCAAAAATGTTGGGGTTGGTGTGAAGAATGTTCCAAAATAGGATCCTTACTATAGATAACCTTACTATAAGGGGAGTGATCGATCAAGATGTGAATAGGTGTCAAGAGAGTGCGATAGTGAAGAGTCTATGTCTCACCTGTTTTTGAGTGCCCGATTTTGCAGGTGTTTGGAGTTGTATTCATCCATGGCTTAGAGTGTCCACTGCTATGCATATTGATAGCTGCAGATAATAGTTGTGGACCTGTTGTTGGGTTTATGTGTAGAGTCTGTGGGGTTTAGAAATGGTGGAGGTGAATCTCGGAAGATTTTTGGTCGTACTGTTCTTGGGTTCACCTTTAAAGAGGTGTTTGTTTTGGTTGTTGGCAGTAGTCTTATCTGTTTGTGTTGCTTGTGATGCGATCTTGTCATGTTCTGAGTCTTTCGTAGCATGTCCAAAGTAGGCCTATCTCAGTGGCTGTTTCAGTTTGTGTTTTTGGTTGCGGAGGTTGTTAAAGTTCCTTTAATTAAGAGTGTTTTAGTAAGTTGGAATTTTTCCATATAGCAGAATTGTTGTGAATTCGGTCAACGAGGTTTTGCTTTGCAGTTCGTTAGCAGGAAGGTTCTAACTTATTTTTGGGGCGGTTTTTTTACTTGGAGCTATTATGGTTTTTTATCAGAATCGTTATTGTTCTGGATTTTTTTGTTCAGCAGCTTACATAGGTTGGTGTTCTCGTTGTGGTTGTGTTGTGCTGTGTCGGCGAGTTGTAGTGCTTAGCAGTAGATAATGTTATACTCCCTTCGTCCCATAATGAGTGACCCAGTTAACTTTTCATGCAGATTAAGAAAAATGAATAAATGAATGAGAGAAAGTGATATTTTTACCAAAGTACCCATATCATGTATTGGGAATGATAAAAAATAATATTAATTAAAGGATAAAATTGGAAAAAATGCATAGAAAATTGAAATGGGTCATACATTTTGCGACACTCATATATTCCAAATAAGTCATTCATTGTAGGATGGAGGGAGTAGGTGGTATTGGTTTATTTGTTTCCCTGTTTGTATATGGTTTTGTGGCCTTGATTAGGTTTTTTTGTTGTAATTGGTGTAATTTGGGTGTACGTATGTAGCTTGTTGGTCCAGTTTTTTGAAGGATCTTGCTTTTGTATTCTCTTTTTGGCATTCTTGATGCCTTAGTTTTAATGCTATTATACCCTTCTTTTTGTTTTTTTAAAGTTCCCTTTGTTGTCGTCTCCCACTATATATGGGCCTTGATTGAGTTCAAATTTTGGGTTGAGTATATATAATATTCAATTTTAATACGTTTATAAAATGAGAAGATTTTACCCCATACCCCTGCACTTATACCCGTATCCCTACAATTTTAAAAAAAAAATATCAATTTTATCCCTATATATTTTTTATTTATTTATTTTTTCACTTTTTACCGTGTTAGATTTTTTAGGCTTCCGAGGAATTCACCACACGACCTATCGGAACACTTTCAAAATGACTTTCAGTACGCTTTTTTTCTCAATCTGAAAGACTTTGGCAAAGAGTTCCAGTTCACACAAATTATGTACCGGAAGACTTTGTGAAAGACTTCCGGTTTGAGAATTTTCATGGGTGTTTACTGGAAAACTTATAAAAAGAGTTCTGGTACTTGTGAAAAGTGTACCGGAACATTTTTTACAAGTCTTCCGGTTTGTGTGTTTTGGCTACCGGAACTCTTTCTCTGAGTCTTCCGGTTTGCATTGTCCATTTTTTTTTATAATTATTTTTGAATTTTTCTAAAATTCTTTTTTTATGCAGTTTCAGAAGTTCCTTTACAAATATGCGATAAAGATCAGATATGCATAGATATGTCTGATGTTTTTTCAACTACTCAAAGATTTGGTACATGAGAAGAGGTAATAAGATGGATTAAAGAGATCGGAATCCGAAATAAAGTTACAGTTATAATCACTCATTCAGATATTGAAACAGGCAAGAGAGGAAGCAGTAACAAATCAATATTTGGATGTGATAAAGGAGGAAAACACAAAGATATTGATAGTGGAACCCAGAGTGTGATGAAAAAATGTGGATGTCCATTTAGAATCAGATAAATTCCAGCGACTGATGGATCTGGATAGAAGATCGATGTAAAATGTGGAGTTCATAACCATGATTTACCTGATAGATTAGAAGGTCACGCATTTGTTGGTAGGTTGACAGCGGATCAGAAGCAACATGTTGTTAATTTGACAAAGAGAAAGGTTCCACCTAGACATATACTGCTTTCATTGCAAGAGCAAGATCCAGATAATATTACTCGGATCACGCAAATATACAAGCAAAAGAGTATGATAGAAAAAATATAAGAGATCCTAGAAGTGAGATACAACATTTGTTTAAGCTTATTGGGGAAGCAGGTTATGTTTATTGGAGTAGAAAAAGAGATGACTATGAAGTTATTAGAGATATCTTTTGGGCTCATCCAGATTCAGTTAAGTTGTTGAATATTTTTCCTATTGTGCTAGTTATGGACAACACTTACAAGACAAACAAATATAGGCAACCTCTGTTTGAAATTCTTGGCATGACATCAACCGAGTTGACTTTTGCTGTCGCATTTTCCTATATTGAGTCTGAGCAGACTGAGACTTTTTGTTGGGTGCTAGATAAACTTAAACAATTGTTTGTGAAGAAAGAGTTGTGTCCACAAGTGATTTTGACAGATAGAGATCTTGCTTTGATTAAAGCCATTGAAATTGTGTTTCCAAGGTCGATCAACATGCTATGTCGATTTCATATTAACAAGAATGTTGGTGCAAAACGGAAACAATATGTGACTAGTGACATGCAAAAGAAAATTGACGAATTATGGATGGATGTTGTATGGGCTAGTGATGAGGTTGAGTATGATCAAAGGTTGAACCAACTTGTGCAGGCGTGTGTTGATTGTAATGAATTTATTGATTATGTGAAGGACACATGGTTGACACCACATAGACAAAGATTTGTTAGAGAATAGATTAATCGAGTGCTACATTTGGGTAACACCACGACTAATCGGTATGTATTTATTTTTAGTATTTATAAATTGTATATATATTTTTTTTTGAATTTTTTTAAAATATTTTTAATATGTATTAATTTTAGGGTTGAGTTTGCTCATTGGAAGTTAAAAAAAATGTTGGGGAACAATATTGGTGACATGGTCAAATGTTGGGAGGCTATGAATGACAACTTAAAGTTACAATTGGGTAATATTAGAGCTTCTTTTCAAAAGAGTTTTTATGAAGTTGAGCACGCCCACGTAAGTCCATTTTACAATAATTTACGTGGTTCAGTGTCTCGAGATGCATGGAGACACATTGCTGAAGAGTTAAAACGAGTTGATTATGTTGGAAATAACAAGGAAATATGTCGTTGTACTCTTAGAACAACCTACAGATTACCTTGTGCTTGTGAGTTGACAGGATATAGAATTGATGGTATACCGATACCAGTAGATGTTGTGCATGTTCATTAGAGAAAACTAAGTATGAAAGTTAAGTTGGACGAAGACATAGATGATGGACCAAAGGTGGATATGAGTAGTGTAATAGATGAGTTATGGAAAAGGTTTAAGTCACTTGATGTTATTGGGAAAGGGGCATTAAAAAGTAGAATTTTTGAACTTGCCTTCCCTACAATGACTTCTATGTGTCCACCAGCTGAGAAAGTAAAAACTAAAGAGGGAGTCAAGAAGAAAGACAAAAAACCAGTAGGATCAGATGTTTATATAGACCATTCGTATCACGAGTCTGTTGATCAAGCATCTCAATCCTCAAAGATGCAATCTCAACCATCACAAACTTCGAAGAAGTTGAAATTATCATAGTTTTCACAAAAGAAATCTCAACCATCACAAGCTTCGAAGAAGTTGAAATTATCACAATCTTCACAGTCATCTAAGCAGTTCATCCTTCAGTTCCCTAATCACATTCGGTCATTATTGGTGATGTAGTTAGTGTTGTATCAGATGGTAATTGTGGATTTAGAGTCATTGCTTCATTGCATGGATATGGTGAAGATGGTTGGCCAATGGTTCGTCGAGACTTGGGGTTGGAAATAATACATAATGAAAGATCAAGTTTGTATGCCAATTTATTTACTGATCAGTTAGCAGTGGTGAGAGAATCTTTGATGATAGAGGAATTTGATCCTCAACCACCACATAAATGGTTAACTCTACCAGATATGGGTTACATGATAGTGAATCGTTATAATGTTGTACTTGTCTGTTTAGGAATTGAATGCTGGACTTTCTTCCCTATGGTAACTTCATTTTCACCGAATGTAGCAATTTACTGCATTGGTTTTGTAAACAAAAATAATTGGGTTTAGGTACTTAGTTGTTTTTAGATAATGCGATTAACCCTAAGTCTTTTTCGTTACTTTTACTTACTATTTTGATTATTTTTTTTATTTAGGTAAACATGAAAGAAGAGTTTCCATTGCCACCAGTGATAGTAGATTGGAAGAAGTTTCGTTCTCCAGCAGCAACATCTTGGATGCTAGGACTTGCAGAACGTCTACAACATTGTCAACAACTTACGCCTATATTACCAACACATTATAAACTATAAATTATGTTACTCATTTTTAATTTCAAAACATGAATAATGAATTATTTTACTCATTTTTAATTTCAAAACATGAATCGTGAATTTTGTTATTCATTTTTAATTTCAAAACATGAATCGTGAATTATGTTATTCGTTTTTTATTTCAAGCTACAAGTTAACACATAAACATAAACCAACTAGGTCAAATGAGTCTAAAAGTTAACACATAAACATAAAACAATTAGGTCAAATGAGTCTAAAAGTTAACATATAATCATAAATATAAATATAAGTCACTGTGATCGAGCAATATGTAAAGCTTCGAACAAATCCGCAAATTATGGGTCATCATCTTCGGCACCAGCCTGCTGAAGATAACGATGAATCAACAAAGACACGCGAGCCCAGCTAGGATCATATGGTCCTGCTACATATACAAGAACTGGCATCTTTATTGGCGCATCATGATAGGATGGCGTTACCAGACGAGGATGCGAGACACGATAGTACCGCTCAAGATATCCATCATCTGTCTCATATGCGGTGGTGGTCAGTGCTGTCGGACGAATCACATTCTGAACGCTCTGATGGTAACTAATCCAGTCAACATCAATATCACCAGCCATCGTATGATCAAGAGGTGGATGTGGAACATACTGCCGGTATCCAAACTGACGCATACATCTGTCTGGCAAGTATGGAACAATAGTGTCACCCCACCTCAGACATCCCCTATTTAGACATAGCTCATCAAACTGACACCATACTCTATGATTCTCGAATGGGCGCCATATGACATCGGCAGGTGTCAACTCATCCATAATAGGTTGCAAGTCCACCTTCAAGGCACCTTGCCTATAGGACCATCTCATCGCTTGAGGGAGACCCACATTATTAGCTGGTATCCAGTTCTATCCTTTTTTCCAAGTGTTGGAAAATACTCATAAATCCAACATTGTTACAAAATTAATATGGTTACTAAATTTAAAATAATTAATTATAACATAATAAACTAGATAAATAAAATTAATATACTAGATAAAATTTATTAAAACAAAATATACTAAATTAAAATAAATACCTATAGGAGAGTCGGATAACCACCAAGCTGCTTACAACTGAACATGGAAGCATCTCCGAGATATCTGTAAAGAGTAACCAACGCAGCTGCTCCCCAATTGTATCCTGATAAGCCATCCAAGTCTATAAATAGTGAGAGGTATCGTGCCTCGACAAGCGTAAACGTCTTGTCCGCAAAAATAGTGGAACCCACTAACATCAGCAAATAAGCTCTAGTGGCATAATGCCATCTAGATGCAGCTCTATGCTCTACGAACCGATCATATAACCACTCCAGCTTATAGTAGGAACCCCTGCAGTCACGGACTTGTTATTGTTCCACTCTCCGTGACACTCCTAAATAATCAACAACCCACTCAACAACAAGCGCTTCACTGATATCTTGAGGGCTCTAGAAGACTCCCATGGTGGGCAAGTGAAGCAGGCAAGATACCTCATCTAGAGTAATCTTCATCTCACCAAACGACATGTGAAATGAAGATGTCTCTAGATGCCATCTCTCTGCAAATGCAGAAACTAGGTTCGTGTCTATCTTTGTTAAACTGGTTCTCTGGAGTGAAGCTAGACCAGACCTAGATATCCAGCCCTCCATCTCTCTAGGTAGCTGTAGTGGAACCCTCTGAATCAACTTCAACCTATGTGTCGCGGTGAAAATCGGATACCAAACTATTGATTAGTTTGAATCTTTAATTCATTTTGCAACCGAACTTTGATTTGTCCAAAGGAAGGGATAAAGATCGAAATTCCCACGATCCAGTGCAAATGCAAGGTTTAGAGAGTTATAGGTTCGGGGGTTGGTTAAACTTAGGGAAGGTACTAACATCCTAAGTTTCTGTAGTACTCTACAGGAACCTCTTGTTTTATGTTTGTTTATTGCTAAGGATTTGTCTTCTTAAAGGATTAGAGACCCTAGTGGTTTATTTCTAAGTATACTCGATAAGATGTCGCATCTTATGCCTACATATCCTTACGGGAGTGGAATCAGAGTACTTGTAGTTCCCCTAAAGGGTTAGAGGAGCTCTTTGACTGTGGTCAAAGTTCCTACGGGTTTAGGGTAGTTGTTTTGATTGGGTTTAGGAGAAGAGATGAGTCTTCATGTTAAGGGAGATGTAACCACCACAAGTGTAAAGGGGGTTGTAGGAAAATAGTCTTTGCATCGTCTTAAGAAAAGGGCTTAAGTACTCGGATTGTTTGACGAGTATGCCTTTATCACTCTTAAGGCAAAGTTCCTACATGTTTGATTGTATTATTGTGGGGACAAATATGCAACAACTTGTTGCACCCCAAAATTTGCCTAACCTTTTTATACTTAGCTTATGTTTCATTACATTTAACATAACATTAGCATATGCATTGCATTGACATGTATGTGGGAGGTAAAGGGCTATCATAGAGTACAAGGCTATTCAAGAGTCTTCATTCAAGTATTCAAGGATTGATATCCTCATCAAAGAAGTCAAAGAGATCCCCAGAGAAGGGGGTTAGCACATTTGAGCATGTCTCCTAACTTGAAGGGTATAGGAGATCATCAGATGATTCTGAATTAATGGAAATTGACCTAGAGTTTTGAGAGATCTCATGGGATGTCTTTAGAGTCATTATGTTGCTTAGACAACTCATTATGCAAGGTGCAAGAAGCCATAAGTAAGATTGGTACAACTAGGGTTTTCATCTGGTCACCCCTAAGTCAACAGTGGAATTTGAATAAGGTTGAGACCTAATTTCAAGGCCATGTGATCATGTATTGATGTATTGAGGTTCCCAAGAGATGATTCTAAGGTCAACTCATCATGAATCAAGAGTGTGAGAAGTTATTGAGCTAGGGTTTCTAAGCTTGACAGTGTAAAATCCCCTATCTTGATGCCCAACTTCAAGACCACATAGCTCAAGATGTGATCCTCATCCCATCTTGAAATCCATATGAATGTTGTAGAGCATGATCATAGATTTCTTTTGAGTACTATAAGTCCTTGATAGGATTTATAGAACTCAAGTTATAAGCCAGACAAGTTATAGGTCATCAGATGAATGTGATTTTGGTGCTTGACAGTCAACCAACTTCCATGCCATTTGTGACTTAGAAAGAGGTCTCACCTGTCCTTGGCTCAAACATGATTGTTGTTCCCTATCTTCTTATCTTTCCAAAAAGTCCTAGAAGTCCATGATTGGATTTGTAGAACTCAAGATACATTGCTTGCAAGGCAGGGGTATTTTGGGAAAGTTGTGATTATAGATCATTTTGGATGATAGACCCATTTTACCATCTTACATGCCTCAAATGGAGATTTGTTCAACTTGAAAGTTGTTCAAAATGATATTATTTGTCCAACCAAACATTAAGTTGTTGTTGGGTTGGCTTGGAATGAGAAATTGTTGAAGAAAGTTTCATGAATGAACCTTTGAAAGTAGTAAAATGAAGAAAATTCAAAATAATTCATTTTGGCTCAAAATATTGCAAGTTTATGCATATTTTGAGTACACTTGATATTGTGAATAGATTGGCATTCTTAGAATTTCAAATTGAGTCCCATTTCATGGCCACCTCGCCGGAGAAGACAACTGGAGCTAGGGCTCCGACGTCTGGTTCAAACTCAGGTGATCTGATGTGTCATTGTTTGACCTCTTGACCAAGCGTGATGAACGTCCCAGATGCGTTTGACCTGCGTGCGTGAAGATTAACTTCCACTTCAATTAATGATACGCACCATTTTGTTTTGGCTGAGCGTATTGGGCTTCAGATGCTAATCACACCCCCTTGGTTGATCAACCCATTGGTTTCAACGTATCTTTTTTATATTTGCACCATTTTGCTTTTATTTGCTTTTACTTTATTTCTTTTTATTTCTGTTTCGTTTTAATTAATTAAAAATATTTCCAATCATGATAAAATTCAACCAAAATTTTTTTCTAACACTTTAATGTGTTATTTAATTTTCCATATTTTTAATTTCATTTTCCATTTATTTGTCATTTTAATTTGAATTTAATGATTGGAAGTGTTTTTAAGTTGTTTTTATTTGTTCTTATTTGTTCTTGCTTGATGTTTGGACCAATTTGAAACCACCAATGAGTGAGGCTTCCTCCTCATTTTGATGATGAGTTGAAGTGCCTTTGAGGCTAGTTTTGGTCACGGTTTAACTTATTTTTGGTTGACTTTCATGTGCACTTGTTTGACCCTCGATAACCCTCCTCAAAGTGGAGCACCCTAGTGGATCAATTCCTTTGGTGATTCTTTGATTGGACTTTGATTGCGTTGCTTTGGCCTCTGGTTGCCAACATCTTTGAGAGCTTTGTGTATTTTATTTGGAGTTGTTTGAACCATTTCACTATTTTTGGTGTACCTTGCAAGTCAAGTGCCCCTAATGATGGTTCACACATACTAGTTGACCTAGTTCTTGTGGGAAATGACCCTTGTGGATCCCATATGCTTCCAACACATCTTGATTCAAATTCCTAACATATTGAAGTGGATGGTTGCATATTTATAGTTCATACATTTGCTTGGTCCATGTTGTAAGTTGCATCTTTTTAAGTATTTCCATTTGATGTTGAATGTTAAAAGTGTTTAGAACTTAGGTTCTTTACTTTGCCTTATTATGCAACTTGTCTTAGTTCTTTTACTTTTTTCATTTGTGCATCCTCTTATCTTATTCTCATTTCTATCCTAGGACTTGGGGACTCATTCAAGTTGATTTGGTGCTTTTGATTTACACTTTGAGTTTGACTTGAATGAGATGCAACTTTGAGAATTTCTTTTTGTGTTTTCTTTTGCATGATCATTGTAATGCTTATGGTTGAGTTTCTCCTTTGTGTTGCTTGCTGCCCAAGCATATCCTCCCATCCTCATCTTGATCATGTCTTCTCCTTTTTCTTTCTTGAATTTCCTTTGGGCTTGGTGATTGATGCACAAGTGGTTGTAGGAGTTTTATTTCTCCCATTTC